GCTTCTGAACCCTTCAGGGAGCTGACTCTTCATTGTTTAGAAGCAGAGCCTCACATGTTGCAGGATGGCTTTGAACTCAGCATGTAGTTGAGTATGACTCTGAACTTCGGATCTTCATGACTTCATTTCCCAAATGCAGGAATTATGGGATTGTGTTACCATGCCCAGTTTATATGGCACTAGGAACTGAATCCAGGGCCTGGTATATGTGGAGCATGTCCTCCACTAGCTGAGCAGTATCACCAGCCCTCGAAAAGCTGAGATTTTGAAGGAATAGCCCACTCTGGGGGATGAGTATCACTTTCTTCTTTTCTGCTGCAAGAGTCGTTCATTGATTGGTCATAGGTGATATCCAGATATCCTAAATTGATGGCTGGCTCCATCTGATAGGGATGATGATGAGGCTTCCTCCAGCATCACTGAAACAAAAGCTTTTCTCTCTCACGACCAGAAACAAGTCACACACTATGATAGCAGCTGGTACCTCTTATCTTCATGGAGACCCAATTTCATGAATCCCACTTTCTAGATGGGGAAACTGAGTCTGGAGATATTCTTCTCCTACTGTGGGGGCACTCAGGGTGTCAGCAACAGTCCTGCAGAGCTAGGATTCCAGCTAAGGGAGACCACGGAACGGAAGGCCTTTGGACCACAATTTCAGAATGCTGTTGACTGTTTTATCTGGGGCATCAAGATTGGCATCAAGAAGTTCTTAAGTAACATCTAATTAATTACTGACTAGTTCTAAGATGTGGTAAAATGAAAAGTGCGAGGTCAGGGCTTTGTTGCCACCATGCAGGCTGGCAGAGGGTGAGAAGCTGTGGCATTTACAGCAGGAAGCTGTTGTTTAGCTTCAGAGAAACCTGCACACCCGAGAGCGGAAAACTAGGGACCTTACAAAGTATGATTGCTTACTTTTCAATTTCAGTCTTTCAAGTAGTCTAATACTTCCTGGGACAAATAGAGTTTACTATGGAAATGTTTTCTTTGAAGATGCAATTTAAAGACAGATTTCTTGTCCTCTCATTTGTGAATACATTGTCAACAAATTGCACGTATTTATTCAACTTGTCCAAATAAAAGTCCAATAAGGCTCAGAAATAGATTTCTCAGCAATTTGAATTTCTGATGCAGGGAAGGCAGCGAAGAGCTTGCTGCTTCACTCATTCTCCTTGGATTAAAATCCAGCAAAATGAGAGGCATGAGGAAACATTTGGGCAGTGGATTTGTTAGTAGCTTTCACTGTGGTAATGGTTCCATATGTGTATATACATGTATACCTCGCATCTAACCAAGTGCAACTTATTGCATGGCATGTCTCATTAAAGCAATAAAGTCAGTAGACAAAAAACAAAGTGGAATAAAACTAATGCAATATAAGAAAATCATTAAATAATTTGAGATAGGGTTTCCCTGTGAAGACCACACTGATCTCAAACTCCTGCCTTTGTCTCCTCCAGGTTGTGGGAATATAGATGTGTATCACTATGCACACAAGCTTGTGATGTGTGTGTGTGTGTGCATGCACATGTTTATGTGTGCAAGTGTGCACACCCATGCTTGTGTGTTTGGAGGCTAGAAGTGGATGTTGCACATCTTTATTTTTTTTAATATTTATTTATTATTTATTATATATACAATAGTCTATCTGTGTGTATGCAGAAGGCCAGAAGGGGACACCAGACCCCATTACAGATGGTTGTGAGCCACCATGTGGTTGCTGGGAATTGAACTCAGGACCTTTGGAAGAGCAGGCAATGCTCTTAACCACTGAGCCATCTCTCCAGCCCCTAGAAGTGGATGTTGTATCTCCCCTATTGTTCTCCACTCTATTTTTTTTTTTTTTGAAACAGAGTCTCCCATTGACCTGGAGTTCTTTGATATGCTAGATTGGCTGACCCATAAATCCTTGCGATTCTGGGGGCTCAGACTGCTCTCAGAAGGGATCTTCCCCCTCCTTGTCCCTTTCACCTTTGCTGTGGGACAGTGATCTTGTATCCTGTAAAGCTTTATCTCTTGTATTGGTTTAAGAAAATGCTGACTGGCCAGTAGCCAGGCAGGAGGTATGGGTAGGGTGACCAGAATAGGAGAATTCTGGGAAGAGGAAAGGTTTAGTCTGCAGTTGTCACCTAGACACAGAGGAAGCAAGATGAGAATGCCTCACTGATAAAAGGTACAAAGTCACGTGGCTAACACAGATGAGAATTATGGGTTAAGATGTAAGAGTTAGTTAATAAGAAGCCCTAGATAATAGGCCAACCAGTTTATAATTAACGTAGGCCTCTGTGTGTTTCTTTGGGACTAAATGACTGCAGGACCAGGCAGGACAGAAACCTCTGTCAACAAATAGTGACCAAATGGCTGGGCTGACACACATGGCCTGCCACCCACCTCAGGTCCGGGTCCTTGCACACCTGCTCAGAGTTAGGAGAAAAGCAGCTGAGAGCATACCAGCAGCTCAGCACTCTCTGCCTGGGTAACTGGCCAGACTGGGTCTGCTAGGTGTGCACAGGCAGGAGAGCATGCTGGATTCCCGCCTCCACACACAGAGATTTCCAGGCCACTCTGTGTGCTGCATGGCAGATTTAGCTTTTACTCAGATCAAAAGGGTTTATGTGCTGCTCGCCGAGAGTTGAGGTGGTGAGGACGGCTCCCACCCAGCAGTCCCAGAGCAGGTGATAAACTACCTCAGCCATATTGAAAGACTCAGAGAGGTGGAGCCAGCATCCAGGTCTACTGAGACCAAGCTTCTTACCATTTAAAAAGTGCTCCTGGTCAGAAAATTATTACAGATACACAATAAAGACAAATTCAGATGTAAAAGACCTCTAAGTATTGAACAAATGTATGTAGGCTTAGGAAACATAAGAAACAGTTAAAAGAAAAGTAAATGGTTTTAAAAAATAAACAAAGTCTTTAAAGAGATAGAGTATAGAGAGTCATAGATTAAAAGGGTATAAAGAAAAATAAGCCACATAAAGATGGAATATATACAGAGAGTATGGATTATGTATATTATTGTGTTTTCTTTGAAATTTTTTGACTGTGAGTGAGTTAAGTATAGAGAGACATCTCATTGCATGAGCTGCAAAGCTAAACATATATATATATATATATATATATATATATATATA